AATATTACATAACAAAACAAGATGATTTTCCCGGAGGAACGGTAGAAGATAAAAATTTTTAACCCTACTTGTTTTTATTTTTTTATCCTCACCTGAGGTTATGTTTTTACTGATTTTAGAAAGGATGGTAGGGGGAGGGGTTCGGGGGGGGAGAGAGAGAAATATCGATGTGAGAAACATTGATCAGTTGCCTCCTGTATGCGCCCTGACCAGGGATCAGACCCGAAACCTAGATCTATGCCCTGACTGGGAATCCAACCCATAACTTTTTGATGTACTGGAGGACAGACACTCCAACCAACTGAGCCACCCCGCCAGGGCGAACCCTACTTTTAACTTGATTGAAATTATCCATCATATTAAATTGGATATCCTGCAAGTTTCTTAAAAGCTAAAGAGCTTCCAAAGCAAATTATACTTTATTGGATATACTCACAAATATATGTACACACACACACACACACACACACACACGCACAGTTAAACAGAAATGAATTTCTTTGCCTTTTAAATCTTAAGCAGGACAGGTGAGAAATCACTGACTGCTGCTCTATTGAAATGAATTTCCTTGCCTTTTAAATCTTAAGCGGACAGGTGAGAAATCACTGACTGCTGCTCTATTTTGCATCTGGGATCAGTCCTACTTAGAGGCATCTAATATTCTGGAGTTTTGTTTAAAGGTCACGTTATTTTGAAAGTAGGAGATTCTTTCTCGTCTCAAGCTGCTTAAATATTTCACCACAAATGAATTTCCCCCAAGTTCCCAAATCTGCTTTTCTCTGCAGTTCTCTAAGAGGAGGTTATGGAGGAATGGCGGCGAGGGGACACCTGTATTTTGGAAATTGCTTCCAAAGTGGTGGAATCGAGAAGAATTAGATGAAATAACCAATGAAGTGTGTCTCAGAGTCTTGTCCCAGGAGAGTTAGTGGGCCTGAAAAGCTGGCCCCCGCATCACCTAAGAACCTCCTCGAAATTAACATTCTCCAGCCGCCCCAGCTCTTCTGCGTCTGAAAGTCTAGGCGGGGAGCCCAGCGATCTGCCCTTGACCAGCCCGCCCAGGTGAGTCTGGGTCCTGCTAACGTTTTGGAAGCACGAGATTAGAATCACCTGTAGCAGAACTGCCTAGGGTGCTCGTTTGATTTAAAACTCGGGTTAAAGGGCCCTCCCGCACCGACATCTCTAACGGGGAAACCTAGGGAGCCGTGACGCCAGCAAGCTCGCCAGGTGATGCCTATGTGCAGTCCCAGGTGTGGGTCCTGGAACCTGGAACCTGTAGGTGAGCTGTTTGTGGTGAAAAGGGACCGATCGCAGGCAGCTTGCTCCGCGAGATTTCACTCGGAGGCGAGATCGCTGGCTGCAGAGTCGCCCTGAGCTGCGTTTGGGTTCCAGGTAGGCCTTCGACTGCGTATGCGACCCTTTCTGCGCCTCAGCTTCCCCATCTGTAAAATGGGCGTGAGGAATCCCCAGCTTCATCCGTTACAGGGGGTTAAATGAAACGGGGCACAGTGTCACTTCCACAGGCAGTAATCCCTTTCGTTTGGACACCTGCCCCCTTTAAAGGTGTTCTAGCCCATCTCGGCCTCGGTGCTTTTCGCTGGGTAATAGTTGCCGAACAAACAGGAGGTTCAGTGCAAACAAAATTGGATTCGAGTCGCAGCTCCACTGCTCATTAGCGGCGAGCCCGTGAGCGAGTTGTTGAACTCTGTCAATATCTAGAAAATCCGGATAAAAATAGCTTTTCCCTCCCAGGCCCATCTAAGGGATGAACCGAGTTAACACGTGTAAAAAGCTCTTAACCAGCGCCTGGAACACTGATTCTCTAACGTTATGGAGAGAGAAACATTTCTCACAAATAGACTTCGAAACTTCAGAAGGGCTCAGCTCGCAAAAAAAGAATGCAATCCAGTCACTCATTTGCCCACCAACATCAGCATAGAGTGTTAGGGGCTTCGTGTGAGGCCTTGGGGACACCCAGCAGCATAGAGTATTAGGGGCTCCGTGTGGGGCCTTGGGGACACCCAGTGCAGAGGGCGAGGCAGGCATTAATCACATAATCATGCAAATGAGCATGCAGACAAGGAGAGCTGGGTGCTTGGGGGAGAACAGCTGGGGGGCTGGCGTTCAAGGAGCAACGCTGGGTAGGGGGTGATGGGACAAGGGAAGCTAAGGGGTGAGGAAGGAGGAGGAAGCAGACCTAACAGGATTATCCGGCCTGTGGGTGGATTTCCAGAAGCAATGGAAAGCCTTTGTAGAGTTTGAGCCAGAAGGTACCACCTTCAGATTTGTGTTCAGAAAGGTCGTTCTGCTGGCAACTTGGGGAGGAGGTTGGAGGAGGCTCTGATGGGGAGCAGGGAAGACCCATTAGGTTTTTACGATAGTCTAGTCCAGAGGCCGTGGTGGCCCAGAGTGGAGGCAGTGGGCATGGAGCGAGGCGAAATTTGAGAACCAGACAGGAGAGGCAGTGGACGGGATTCAGGATGAACTGGGAGTGGAGCCGTCTGGAGTGATTACTCGGAGTGCGACGGCACTGGGAAGGGACTGGGCGTATTAACTTTGATGTCACTGCAAACTGTCCAAATGGAGCTGTTGAACAATTGGACATATCAGTCCAGGGCTAGGTACCCAGGTCTGGGCCAGAGAAACAAATCAATCGGACTGCCACCGGCTTAGGGATGGAGACTGCAGCCAGGAAGGGAATGAGGTTCCCTGGGGAGAATACGGATAAGGCCCAGCCCTGTGGGTCTCCTACCCTGGGTGACCAGGGGGAGGAAGATGGACCCGAAAAAGAGGCTGATGTGGCAGAGAGTCTGTGGAAATAATAATTTTCGTTTTCTCTCTTATTTTCCCCTTTCATCCCATTCTAAGCTAATAGCTTGCTTTCATTATTCCTGGCTTCAGGGATCTTGGCAGGGCCTAAGGTAGAAGGATTCTGAAATGAAAGCTTCTTGCTGTTTTTGGTAAAATTTCAAGAAGACAAAGAAAAGCTATGGGGCCAAGGGAGACAGGCCCAAAGGGTCCTGAATTGTAAAGACCCCCACACTCAGCTCAAGGTCCCAACTTCAGCCAAGATCCCCGAGCCTTTCCGAGACCATAGATCAGGGGTGGGGAACCTTTTTTCTGCCTTAAAGGGTCATGTGGATATTTATAACATCATTCGAGGGCCATACAGAATTATCAGCTTAAAAATTAGTCTGCTATGTTTGGTCAAGCATTTAATTAATTCACCCCTAATGGCAGGGCCAGACCAAATGATTCCTTGGCCCTTTTATGGCCCGTGGGCCGATGTTCCCCACCTCTGCCTTAGATGCAGCAAAACCACGGGGCCTGGAGGCCGCAGGTGCACCTGGGCAAGCATATTGTAGAGCTAATGAGAATGGATGACCAATGAGTGGAAAGCTTGCCCCAGTGCCTGGGGTGGGGGTGGGGGGGTCAGGGGGTAATGACTTCCAGATCTTTGCCCAGTTCTATGATGGAAAACTCCAAAGAACCACTGAGGCTAAATTTCTCACCAGGCTGGTGGGACAGTAGGAAGAAGTCTGAACTTTGGTTTAAAAACATAGAACAAAATGTGATGTTTCCTGACAGTTCCATTTATATGCCATAATGGAGTCTGAGGAAGTGGGGAGTGTAGCCCTGGCTTGCACAGAAGCCAGCTCGTCAATAACATTTTCCAAATCTGCTTCTTTGTTTGCCTCATTTCCCATTAAGACAACAGAATTGCCACATTCTAAAATTTGTCTTGATCAGGTGACAATCTTAATTAACTTGAAGTAGAATCATAATCTAATTTTGGTGTAAATAAGACATATGAAACTTAAAATAATGTATTAATGACATCTACTTTTCAATTTTCCAATATTTTTCCCAACTGGGTCAATGTTCAGGGAACAAATTAAGCATTACAAAATCCATAAAGACATGTGTCTAGTAGAAGTATGGAGGCTTTTTTTTTTTCTTTTGCCTTAGGCTCCAAGCTGAATATGCACAGCCCTGGTCTTCATTTAAAATTTTTGATATTTTGTTCAATGTGGATTTTTTTGACATTAATGGAACTTTAAAAAAATATTGTATTAAAATGTGATTTCGGTTGTTTAGTAAGTTACTTAGCACCCCCTTAAATTTTGCATCAAACTGAGTGCAAATGCCTCACCCACCTCACCCTACTTCTTCGGCCCCATTTCTTAGACACCTAACTATGGACTAAGAATCATTCCCGGTCTATGGGAAAGAAGTAGCAGAGATTAGGGAAATCCAGGAGAGTGAGTGTCATCACAGGAGTGTTTCTGACAGGGAGAGGGCCGGCGTGTCAAATGCTGCTGAGAAGTCAAGTAAGGCTGAAGGGTACCTGTGTTGAATGGCCTGAGCGTCACGGGTGGCTTAGAGTGAAAAGCCTGGAGGGGCTGCTGGGGCGGAACTGGGCTGAAATAGATGGGGGAGTGAGTAGCCAGCAGGAAAACTGGAACTGTGACTGTGGAGGCCTCTCCCGAGAAGTTTGGCTCTGATGAAGAGGGAGGGAGAGAGGGCAGGAGCTGGAGAGAGGATGGAGTCTAGGGGGGTTGCTGTATTATTATAGGGTCCAGTTGAGAGGGAGAAGCTTAATCCACAGGAGAGAAACGAGGGTTGACTATAG